TATGATGCTGCTTGGCCTGCTGTATTCATCCAGCTCTACACCTTGCATTCAGGATGGTGTTATGTTACGACTTTATGCCTCACCTCCACTCCCATCTCACCCACGTTCTCCTAAATGTCATGATTTGTTAGCGGCAACTGGTATGACCAAGGACCTCTCATTTCCCTCATTCCAACCCTCTATTATGATCTTATGCTTTTAGATATACAGGAGTTGCTGTCTGGCTAGTCACAGCAGCCCCAGGAGGAGGAACAACTGCACTAGACATATGAGTTGACCTGTGCTTATATCTTCCAGCTCAGATGGAAGAATTGCATTAGAGGCGAGTACAGAGCTTGCATTTACATTTGTTGAGTCAGTGGGTACAAGTTGGCTGAAGCCAGGTAGCTAAAGGAGGCTCTTCTGCTACCTCCTTGGAGGACAAGGTAGCAGATGAACTCTGTTGCATAGGACTCAGATGAGGACCACGATGGAGTGGCATACAGAAGAAAATGGATAAGCACAAAAGCAAGATGCTCAAGACGTTTCTGGCTTCATCATAGGTCAAAGCATCACACAGAGCTTGAAGCCCATCCTTTCCAGCCAACCCTCTGACCACTTGTGGAGCCAGCTGTGATATAGCATCTGGAGGGCACTGTTTCCATTGCTGCACAGGCAGAAGCCACCCAAAGTCACAGTGTTGCAGTGGAAGCCAGCCAAAGGTCACAAAACCCATGTGTGTTGCTTGCAGGCATATTGGCATGGCCTGGATCTGACAGTCTCAATAGTGGTGAATGCTGAGATGTTCACAAGCACTGAGGACTGTAACAGAATCCTAACATTCAGGGAGGCAAGTTATGCTCAACTTGGGAAGTTGTAACTTACAAGAATGGGATCCTGACATTCCTGCACTGATATGTGACCAGCACCTGTCAGTGTTCAAATATGGGCTGATTGGTCAGTATATGCATTGATATATTTAGGACACACATGGTAGCTGTGCCTCCTGACTCCCCTGCACACCTAACCCTGCCCCAGATTCTGCTCCTCACTAAATGTAACTGCAGGCTTGGCTCCACTCCATTTTCAGCAGAAAGATTCCTTTCCATTGAGAAATGCCCCCGGTTTGGGCTCTTAACCTGCGGAATTAGTTCATACCTCTTTGGTATGTGATGCTGCCCTCTGTAAAATCCTCTGTCAATATTTCTGGGAGCTGCCCTGACATAGTTCTCCGCTATTTTCCCCAGCTCTCAACTCCAAGCCCACTTCCACACAGCCTTGACCCATTATTTCAATGCATATTCTCCCTAAATGGGCACCCTGTACCTCTCCTCTAAGCAGCACCCTGTACCTCTCCTCTAAGCAGTAAAACATGGATTGAACTGAACCTCTTCACTGACTGCCTTTCCCATTCCAACCCATCCATCAGCTGCCTGCCCCTCCACCCATGATATTGGATTACTGAATCAGTCAGAGAGAGTTGGCTGGTTCCTGATCTTCCATTGCCAGGAATGTCCTCTTGGAGCTATTTCGATCCAAAGAGACTGACTTCCTCCAAGAAGATAATCACTTGTAGCCCAAATCAATTTAATGGATGATTTAAAAAGACTAAACCATGTCTAATAGTGGATCGTAAAGAGCCAACACCACCATGAAAACATCTGACCCATATAAAAATGTTACAAAGCCTCTGAAGTGTTTTAGCATGAAAATAAATAGCAATTAAATTTAACATGGTATTATAGCTTTAATACCTAGCTGGTGTAAGAAACAGGGGACAAGGTAATGCAATGACCACAAGGTTAGTATTCTGGATGGGCTGAAGGGCTTTCTTGTAAAATCTTGTGGTTCTTTCCAATATATGCGCAATTAAGGATGACCATTTATTGATAAATAAACTTACAGGTACATATCCCTCTGGTCCCAGAGAAACTGATGCTTTGATCACAGAACAGATGCTGATGAGGATCACACACGTCCAGCCCTGTGCAATATTCTCCCAACTGCTTGGCACAAACCCAGCAGCAACCGCAAGCATCCACAACGAGAGGGACTCCTGGGGCACAGAGGGGTAGAGTTGGGGGGCAGCGACAGGGGTAGGGGCAGAGCTGGGCACCAACCTGCAGGAGAAGATGGCAGCCATCAAAATGTTATCAGCAAGGAGGCAGGTGGAGTGGAGCTGTTGGGAAAACAACTGGAGCAGATGTTGCACTTTGTGAGTTGAATGAAACTGCTATTATGGTATGGTTAATTACAAAGTGACAGAGTGGGCAATGGAGAACGTCTTATTCCCTCCACATTACCCGAAATTGTGTAGTTCATGAGTAATTATGAATGACAACGTAAATCACAAGCAAAATGAAAATAAACAATTGAAATTAAAACCAATTCAGTAAACCAGAGCAAAATATCTGCTGCATGAGAAGTCACCTACAATATTATTGTAAAAATGTATTACAGTGGATCTGGCCCCAGCCCAGAAAAAAGCTACAAACTATTGGCATCTAGCAGAAGTTAATCTTTTGCAATAACTTCACTATTGAAATGGGACCATAATCAAAATAACTCACATCGTCTAATAATGTACTTGCTTATGTGTGTACAAACATGCAAAATAGGAGAACAAAGTTTTTCTCACCTTGGATGCAATGCACAGGACATAAAATGTGACTGTGCTATCTACCCAAAGATTCCCCATGCTGTTTCTGTCTGTTCGGAGCAGTAATGTGGAGATTTCTGCAAAGCTGCTGGTTTTAAACTTTGCAGGCTCTTGCGAGTTGGGGAGCCGCGGTATTTATAGGCAGCAGTGACGTTTTTCGCAGACTGGACGGCAAACAGAGACAACTCGGGAACACCACCAACTTTGTCCTAATTCCGGATGCCATCTGACATTTTGACATCCGCCAACATAAGGTCCAATTAGTTATTGAATAACAGTTAAAGAGCCAAACAGAAAGTTGCGTTGTTGCCCCACACCTCCAGCTCTCCTGGCTGTTGAAAAATACAGCGTTCTGACTGGCTATCACTTACAAATTGTACTTGACTGCAAGCCGATTGATAAGCCTTCCCCAGAATGAATAACATTTGCTGAATCGTATTCAAGACCGCAGTAATGATAATTGCCTGCGTTTGTTTTGACCATTAACAGAAGAACAATTCTGCAAGTATCTCCTCCTATACGGGATATATATGTAAATACCAATATGTAGGAGAAAATTACTACAGATGCTGGAATCTGAACTGAAAACAACAAATGCTGGAGATCACAGCGGGTCAGGCAGCATCCATGGAGAGAGACCAAGCTAACTTTTGGTGTCTAGATGACTCTTCATTAGAGCAGCTCTGCTGAAGAGTCATCTAGACTCAAAACCTTAGCTTGCTTTCACTCCATGGATGCTGGCTGACCCGATGTGATCTCCAGCATTGATTGTTGTCATCTAAATACAATAGTCCAGTCACAAGTCTAATTTCAACAAAATCAAAGGAGATTGCAAGCCTAAATTATAAGATTCAGGTGCCCTATACCTGCCATATCCACACTCGCCAGTATGCAGGTAGACACCCTATACCACATTCCATTGCCACTTGAGCATGACAAAATACTGAAGAGTGGCATCAACCGCAGTGACCCTCCCATGGGCCATATTCAACCTTGACATGTGACTTGAAAGAGCCAGCCACAGTGCATGGCTCAGCATTCAGGGGAGATGCTATCAGCACAAGTACAGATTGGACAAAAGCTCATAGAAGAAGCAGAAGGCCAGCAAGCCTGAAGCAGTTAAAGATCAAAGGGAGACCTAGATTGTGTTACTGAAGTTATGGTGTAAGGTGTTCAAGGTTGGAGATAATGACAATCTCTGAATTCACAACTTTATGCCTCCCAAAATCCTGGAAAGGGGTTGGAAGTAGTGGGTTGTTAACAGCTGTGATGTAAACTGTCTATATACTTTTCAAATGAAGGTGAGTTGAGGTCAAGAATGGCTAATCAGCATTTCTACCTGGATGTAAGCCTAATGTATTGCAGAGACAACAAGGTGCAGAGCTGGATGAACACAGCAGGCCAAGCAGCATCATAGGAGCAGAAAGGCTGAAGTTTCGGGCCTAGACCCTTCATCAGAAAAGG